GGGAGAAAAACAAACCATGGGCTCTGAAGCCTGTCGTCGTTTCTGGGGCTGGGGAAAGTTTGCAGTTAAAGAGGGTTTGCACGGTGGTGAAGTGTCTTCCGTTGTCTGTGGAGCTGAGCGTGGTATGTTACAACTCGCGGGGGGTCAGTGATGTTATAAGGTTTGTCTTTAAATGCTCTAAGTTAGCAAATGTTCGAGTTTGTTGGCAGAGTTCTTTCTAATGCTCTATGTCTCTTCCTCAGTGCAAAACGGATCTGTGCATCAGAAGGATGGGTTAAACGATGATGACTTTGAACCCTACTTGAGTCCCCAGGCCAGGCCGGTGAGTAAGAGTACCTGCTAAGGGGCAGGAAACGCCGAGAGCCCAGCCGGTGGCTTCCCGCTGCTCCCTAGAGAAGGCAAATTTGGCATCCTCATGTTCCCTCATCTCCGCTTACTGCATTTTGATGTCTGCCAGCTTTCCTACCGTAATATGCTGTTTTATACATGTATTTCTCCAGGTAGAAACCACTGAGCACCATTAGATTGTGGTGGGCGAGGTGTAAAGGTTTTAGCAACTTTCTGAGAGCGTAAGGACTTCCTACAGTAGGTGCACAGCTCGGGTTTTTTGATATGACCGCTGTGAAGTTACCATTTCTGCTCTTTCAGTTTTACTGCTATGACCTTGTTTCCTTGCTGGTTTCTGGCTCTTTATGCCATAGGAGGAGATGCACGACATCGCGTTGTGAAATTGCTTCACGCGATGCAGTTACACTCCGAGGGCTTTTGAAGGATACTATCAACCTTATCTCTCCGCCAAGTAAACCGAAAATGCGTGTCATGGGGTTTTCTATATTTTTCACCAAAAAAAAACCCCAACCCACAGAACGCACATGTGATAAAAGCTGTTTAGTCTTTTTGAGAACTTTAGTTAGAAGTTGAGCTGGAGAGCTTGTGATCAGCTCCTGAAAGTCAGACTTCCAGCTACTTTTCCTCTTAACTTTCTATTTAAGATTAGTTCCACTGTTAACTCTTTTTTGTTTGTTTTTCTTAATGAGTGGTAGGAGAGTGACAGACAGCAGATGGAGTTCAGCTGATTAGATGGTACAAGTGAGCATTATAGATAAACATCTGTAGTAGGGCTGGAGCAGTTAGTTCATTCTCTTGGCACCCCTTCCCTCTCCAATTGTGATTAGTAAAAATAAGCTGTTCTGGTTTTCCTTTCCTGTATTTTTTTTGATCATTTTTACTAGTCAGTATATTCTTTTCAGATAAGCAATGCGTGTTTTGTTGGAACACAAAAGCAAGTTTCTGTCTCAGTTAACTTTTCAACAAGTATTTTCCTAGCTTGTGCTAAAGACATGAGGCTGAATATTCTTTAAGCTCCTTTCAACTGCTCGTACTATTCAGAATTCAACCTGTCCATTAAGATAACGTACTGCATTCAGCTCTCAAGCCTAAATCCGACCTGCATAAGGCAAGAGAGTGTGATTACTTTCTCAAGTCTTGAATAAAACTAGCTACTTCTCTAGTAGCTATCATTTAATTGTGTGGTTTTTCTATCCCAGAAGTTAACATCACCAATTTCCAGTTTCCTTCTGAATGTGGAAGTATTTCCTGCAAAGCGTGGTCTTATTTAAATCTCCTAAAGAGAAGGAGGGCTCCTATAATGCTAAAAGCAACATGATATTTTACCCTATTTTGCATGTTTGGTGCAGAACTTCTGAATATTTAGTTTCTTTTTTGCGTGAGTCACACTGGTAAAAATACCTTTTAAAAATAAGGAAGCTATTGGAGCACGCCCCAGGAGGTGGAGCGGAGCTGTTGCTCTAGAAATTCAGCAAGAGTGAGATAAAACTGGCGTTTTAACTTTGAATGAAGCTTTAGGATGACTTTATCTCGGTTTCTCTCCATGCTGTGTTGCCTCTCAGTTCTTATCCATGTTTTCACACTCGAAACCCCAAAACCGTAGGGTTCAATCTGGAGGGGACCGTGGTTCGGCCGAGCCCACCAGCTCCTGATACAACGGCACAAAACATGCACCCCTTTTCTGAAGGAAAAGGGGAAGGGAGTTACAGATAAGGCTCTGAAAAATGAATTAAACGCAGCCTGCTGCTGCAGGGTGACGCGTGTGGTTTCTGAAATTGCTTTCTGAGCTCTCCGCGCAAGCACGGGGTAACAAGTGGTGAAGTTTCATGGCTCTTCATTCAGGAGCTGCTGTTTCAGGTGCGACTGTTGCTAGCTTGTCAGCCTAGTAAATGAGGTTACTGTGTATTTTAAAGCTCAGATACACAGTAAGTGATTCTTCAACAGTTTAAAAACAGAAACAGTAAGTAAGCTTAAACCCTGGTTCTAGTCTTGAGGCGAAGAATAGTGAATTTGAGGAAATAACTGTACAAAAAGTCTTAGTCATTGGAGAGAATTAAAAGCCGGTGAAGTTTTATTTGCATAGTAATCAGTAACTGTGTCAGTTGTGCGAGTGCAGGGTAGCAGAGCGAGGTGGTGTGTTTGATAGCGAAGCGTAGTTCTAGACATTCAGGTGGCGAACAGCAACTGGCCTGACTTAAATCTGCTTGTTCAACTCCTGTCCTCCCTCCTTACTATACGAGTAGAGCTGGTGAATACTCTAAAGGTAATAGCTTAATACAGACTATGTTAAAATATCCCACCAAGTTAAATATATCACAGCATGTAAGAAAATATTTTGAGATGGCAAGGGGACGGGTTTTAATCTGACAGCGATGTGCTTCGTGCGCTTTGAGGGACAAGCCTGCAGAGAGGAAACTGCTGCTCTGCCTGCTAGGCTCAGGTTTTAGGTATGGGCTGGCATGTTGATGTGCTGTTAAAGCTAATTTCCAGGAGAGTGTGGTGTTACTCTTGTAATTGCGGGGATTATCTTTTGAAGAGACTTTGCTGGTTCAAAATATTTTTATTTTTTTTTAAAGTTCCTTCATTTGCCTTACAAATTAGTCAGCGTCCATATCTGTGCTTTTGGACAGGTTGAGCCCTAAAGGTTGTTCCTTAGTTTGGGTTTAGCAGGACTGAGTTCCTCAATTAGTAAAACTGGATAAGAATTAGTTTTGTTATTAATTTGCTTTTGGGGCTCTTTCTTTGGGAAAACCGAAAGGCTGAAGAGAATGTCTCTGAGTTTTCATGCATCCACACCGTGAAGTACCACAGAAAGCTTTTTAGTGTTTTATACAACAAAACAAACCTTGTCTCTGAAAACATCTTAATTCCTATGAATTTTTGTAAAGTGTGGGCTGGGTTAGCCCCAAACCTGTTGCTTTCCTTTTAACTCAGTGGAAGGTGGAGAGGCAAACCAGCTATTTCTGGAGGGTGCCAGAGCCATCTTGAGAGCCTCCATAGATTTCAGTATGGCATGAAGTCCTTCGGGAGCTGCACTTGGCACGTGAAAACATGATTCAACGAAAAATGGAGTAGAGCCTGCTGCGAGCCAAGCTTTTAAATGGGAACTGAACCTGACTTTCATCTCATCTGTGTTGGGTTGGCGTGTAAACGGCTGTGTAGCATGAGGCTGTCTGCACACAGGTTCAAATTACGGGATGATAACGTCCATTAGCGTGGCTTTAACCGCTCCCTGGAGGGGGCATTGGTTTTGAATGCAAAATGACAGATGTTTTTCATGTAAGCAAATCTTGGTGATGTCTGAGACTTCCCTAATTGTAAAATTAGGCCTTTGTTTTCATAACCTAAAGGCTACTTAGATGTTAAAAGGGAGACCAAGGCATGGAACAGCTGGTTTGGTTTTTTTTTTAATCTCTGAAACTGAAGCCTGCTTTCTTGTGATGCTGTCACCATGCTATAAAATGCTCCTATTGAAACCCTATTGATTACGCCCCATTTTCAGGTATTTTTTTAGTATGCGCCCGCAGTACTGGAGCAGTTTGTGTTTTGAGGAGTAGGCTTTAAATTCCTGATTGTTTGCAAGTTCTTGGGATATTTTAAGCTCTGAAACCTTTAACTGTGGGGATAAAGCTGTTTTTGTGGGTCCTCAGTTTAAGGAAGGCAGTTAGGGACATTCATGATTTTGGCAGTGCATTTCCACTGGACCTTCTTCCTCCATATTTCACTTCTCCCTGCATTCTTCCCCCAAACCCTCCCTCAAACACCAGAGTAAGGGCTGATATGTATGCTACCCAGGAAAGGAGAGCCTTCTTTGGTAGTAGCTACAAAAAGATGATGATAATATTTGGATGCTAGGTAAGATAATGGTTTTTATAGCCCGAGCAGGAGCTGTGGGGCAGTCCAATGTCCAGTCCCACCTCACGCATCGGGAACACAACGCGCCCCTGTTTCAGCATGGGAAGCTTGCTAAGCCTTTGTGTTTAATCGTTCTGGCAATGAAACAGTTTTTAGAGCACTTCTAACAAAGAAGGTGTTTCAAGGCCAGGCCTGTTTATCTGCCCAGCCCTAAGGTAGGGAGGGGTGGGGCACGGGAAGTCTAAGATGGCTTTTATTCCATGGTCCCTTGAAATTTGTTCAACTCCTAACTATTCAGTGCTTATTTTTTATTTGTTTGTTTTTTCAGAATAATGCATACACTGCAATGTCCGATTCCTACTTACCAAACTACTACAGTCCCTCCATTGGATTCTCCTACTCCTTAGGCGAAGCTGCCTGGTCTACAGGGGGTGATCCCCCCATGCCCTACCTAACCTCTTACGGACAGCTGAGCAACGGGGAGCCTCACTTTCTCCCAGATGCGATGTTCGGGCAGCCAGGGGCCCTTGGCAGCACTCCATTTCTCGGGCAGCACGGCTTTAACTTCTTTCCAAGCGGGATTGACTTTTCGGCTTGGGGGAATAACAGTTCTCAGGGACAATCCACTCAAAGCTCTGGCTATAGTAGCAATTACGCCTATGCCCCTAGCTCGCTGGGTGGAGCGATGATCGACGGGCAATCTGCCTTTGCTAACGAGACTCTGAACAAGGCTCCTGGCATGAACACCATCGACCAAGGGATGGCAGCTCTGAAGCTGGGCAGCACAGATGTTGCGAGCAGCGTCCCGAAAGTCGTTGGTTCGGCTGTCGGTAGCGGATCCATTACCAGTAATATCGTGGCATCTAACAGTTTGCCTCCGGCTACTATCGCTCCTCCAAAGCCGACCTCCTGGGCTGACATCGCTAGCAAACCGGCTAAGCAGCAGCCCAAGCTGAAGACCAAGAATGGCATTGCAGGTTCAAGTCTTCCACCACCTCCGATAAAACATAACATGGATATCGGAACTTGGGATAACAAAGGGCCTGTGGCAAAAGCCCCGGCGCAGGCTTTAGTTCAGAATATTGGTCAGCAGCCAGCCCAGGTGTCCCCCCAGCCTGTGGGTCAGCCGATCAATCGTGGCAGTGGGTTCGGTCAAAACGGAGTGGACGGTAACGGAGTGGGACAGTCTCAGGCCAGTTCTGGTTCTGCTCCTTCGGAGCCGCACCCGGTCTTGGAGAAGTTGAGATCCATCAACAACTACAACCCCAAGGATTTTGACTGGAACCCAAAACACGGCCGGGTTTTCATCATTAAGAGTTACTCTGAGGACGATATCGTGGCAGTGGGTTCGGTCAAAACGGAGTGGACGGTAACGGAGTGGGACAGTCTCAGGCCAGTTCTGGTTCTGCTCCTTCGGAGCCGCACCCGGTCTTGGAGAAGTTGAGATCCATCAACAACTACAACCCCAAGGATTTTGACTGGAACCCAAAACACGGCCGGGTTTTCATCATTAAGAGTTACTCTGAGGACGATATCCACCGTTCCATTAAATATAACATCTGGTGCAGTACAGAGCACGGCAACAAGAGACTGGATGCCGCCTATCGCTCCATGAATGGGAAGGGCCCTGTTTACTTACTGTTCAGTGTCAACGGTAGCGGTCACTTCTGCGGAGTAGCAGAAATGAAATCTGCTGTGGACTATAACACGTGTGCGGGTGTGTGGTCCCAGGACAAGTGGAAGGGACGTTTTGATGTCAGGTGGATTTTTGTGAAGGACGTTCCCAACAGCCAGCTGCGGCACATCCGCCTAGAGAACAACGAGAATAAACCAGTGACCAACTCCAGGGACACTCAGGAGGTGCCTCTGGAAAAGGCTAAGCAGGTGTTGAAAATCATTGCCACCTACAAGCACACCACCTCCATCTTTGATGACTTCTCACACTATGAGAAACGCCAAGAGGAGGAGGAAAATGTTAAAAAGGTAACTTGTTTGTCTGTCTCGGCCGAGTCCTGCGGGGCAGGAGATAGAGGAGGGCTGCCTTGTGCCCAACTAAATCCAGGGTGTGAAGGCGTGGGCTTGTGAGTGAGCTTGGTGGGCGTCGGGCTGCCTTTTGGCTAGCTGTGTGCTCGTATGCGGAACCCCTGTTTGGGGTGGAAATGGGTGCCAGCACCCTGGCAGAGTGGGGTGAGGAGGCTTGCCCAGGCCCTGCCTGCAGTCGCCCGCCCTTCAGTCACTCTAAATCTCAGCCTTTCCCCGAGTGCTGTATTCTAAACAAAATTTATTTTTGTGCTATTGTCAGCTCCTGGATCAGAAGTGTTTAAAGGAGGAGATCAGTGGGGGGTTTGGGGAGTTGTTAGAAAACAGAGCTGGGTCTTTGAACGGCCGCCTAATCCACCCCCTACCCATAGTGGGGTCAATGTGACAGATGTTTCCCACTGCTTGTAAAACCTTCAGGAACAGCAGTTCCTGTCCCTCCCCAGGCAATCTATTCCTATGCTTAATTATCCTTCCTGTTAGAAGGCTTTGTCTAATGCCCAACCTAAATCTCCCTCGCTGCAATTTAAGTCCGTGACTACTTGTCCTCTCTCCAGCGGACGCGGAGCGGGTCATTCTGTTCCTCTTGGCAGTGAGCTCGGCAGCGTTTGAAGCCCGTGGGCACTGCCCAGCAGTGTGGCACCTGAGCTGCGCTCACCGCCTGCCTGCAGCTGCGCTGGCTTGCCACTTGGGTCTGTCCGCTCGAAGCCTGCTGTCATCATCGAATTCGTTAACAGGAGGATTGCTAATTGAAAATTCTGCCCAAAATTCAGTGACCGACAGACCTTGAATCTTACTTGGGTACAGCTGTGTTAGTCAGTTGTAGCTGACCTTCCCCACAATAGGGGTCTTGCTTGTATTTGATCAAAACAGTAATTACAAATTAGTATTACCACAGCTTTCTGGTAGCTGACCAAGTTTTCTGATGAGCTCTTTAGTTTCAGCAATGGGGAATTTTCCACCCAACAGTTGAAGAACAGAATCAGGAGCTGCAACTGCTCACTGTGACGGTGAACGCAGTTTTTAATATATATTTTAATTGGAGCATTGTCTGTATAAATAGCATCACCCATACACAAGGGTGGTCACGTTTTGCAACTGATACCCTAGCACTTACAGTGCTTGAAGAAAATCTGTAAGGGAGGAATACATTGCAAGGTGTGGAGGTGTAAACTTGATTTTTGGCGAGAACCTGAATATTTTGCATGACTTCACGTCCTAAAATTGCTCTACTTGGTATCCAGCCTGTACTGAAGTGGTGACTTCTCTTTTACTAACTGAGGTTTTGAATGGCATCCGAAATTTAGTCTGTGCAGGATGTTTTAGGACATGGGACTTCTCGTATGTTCCAGATGTGACTTCAGGGAGCAACAGTTTGCAGTGCAGGAGGGGCAGACTTTGGGACAGTGGGAGGAGGCAAGGAGGGGGGGGAAATGTTGCTGGAGGCAGGTGGGCTTTGGGTGGGTAAGAGTTAGTACTGGGTAAATGTAAGCAGGTAGCAAGCAGGAGGAAGAGCAACAGTGGGGAAGGCTGGGGGAAAGGTGGACAGACCGATGGTCTCTCCTGCTGGAAGGCTGCTGTGTTTGTGAGTTGTAATGTCTTAAAATCGGTAAGATACTAAAAATGTGGCTCAGCAATTTTCTTAAAACTGTAAAGCATCTTTACTCATCTTTCCAACTGCATTTTGAAGTCTCCTCCCCTGCTTTCTTCAATTTCTTGGAGAGGTGCTAGCCTGCGAGGGTCAGAAGCAGTAACGGTGGCTGATGGACGGTCGGTATGGCAGCGCCTCCCTTCTAAATGAAGTCTGAGTCGATTCAGTGTGGCACTCCAGTGCAGAAGCGGTTGATTAGGAAAACATTTATTCTTTGAAAGGGAACTTAGTCATATGTGTCTGGAATTCATAGTCTTGTAGATGTACAGTTGGTGTTTGCTTTTTACCATTGACTCACTCGTTGTTGCATGCTCAGGGCCCCTGCCCTGTAACATCCGGGACAGAGGAAGTGACTTGGTCTTTCTTTCAGCAACAGTTTGACCTCCTCGATTGCTTGCTGACGCAGCCTTGAAGATGGTTGAGGTTTCTGTAACTGCTCTTTCATGGTTTCATTGAGAAGCAGTCTTTTTTGCTCAAAGAGGTTTTTTTATTTCCTGGAGTGGATGCTAATAGGACTGTGGGTGGCAAAAAAAAAAAAACCAAGCCATGCTATGTCTGCCTTGAAACATCTCAGGTAATCACCTGGAGGAAAAAAAACAAATCAGAAACCAGAGTTGAGGCACTGGAAAGTTAAAGTGCTGCTCTGGCAGCAGCCGGTGGCGCAGCTCCCTGCCTGCGGTCTGTCAAGCTGCTTTTGTGTCAGGGAAATCCCATTGCTACCAGCTCTTTGTCTCTGCTACCAGTTTTTGGATGGCGGCGATAACGTTAATGTTCTGCATTCCTGTTCCTTGAAGCTTAAATGTCTCAAGGTTTGGCTTGTTTTGAACTTCTAGCAAGCTGCAATTGTTTCACTTGGCTTCAAGTTGCTTAAACCTTTGTCTGATCTGCAGTTTGATTCCTGCTTGCTACCCGAACAGATGGATGAGCTCTTGTGAAAATCTGGGAACTCTTGAATATTCTTCTATACTTCTCACACTTAGAGGCACTTCTTCAGAATTCCCTAAAATAGTTCCCAGAAATCATATGAAAAAATGCTCTGCTTAGTGTTCGTGCTATTCCCTTTGGCCAGTGAAGGAGGGTAAATGGTTCAGCGTTGAAAACACTGAACTCATGCTCTTGCTTGTCCTTTTCTCACCTGTGCCCATCTTGTCCTCAGAGACTAATCTCCATTTCTTTTGAGTGTCTTGCTTTGCTCTACTAATCCAGTCTTTTAAAAGGTTTGGATGATCTGACCCAAAATGAAGCTGACTCCCAGTGCAACCCTACCTGAAGAGGTTTAGGGCTTCTTGAAACCCGTAACAGCTGCTTTTGTGGTAGAGCGGTCACCAACTTGTTCCCTGTAAGGACTGTTTTATCTTAGTTTAAAAAAAAACAACCAACCAACCAAGAAAACACCCCCAAAAAACCCCCAAGAAAAATCCCTAGCCCATAGGAATACACTTGTATTTCTAGGAATGTTGCAGTGACCTCAGTGGAAAGATCTTAGATCTGCTTGCAAGTGAAAGGTTAACAGCTTATGTTTTGTGGAAAAGCAATGAATGTCACCTCTAAGGGAAGTTTATTTTGGTTCTTTCTCCCACTGCCTTGCACAGGGTTGGGGTACTTGGCTACTTGCAGGTTCCAGGGATTTTTAGGAAGGATATCCCATGAAAACCAGGCCTGTCCTGTCCCTTCCAGGGCCAGAGTGCTCAGTTGTCAGGTTTGGAGTTGAGACACTTTGCTTTGGGACTTGGGGGTTGAGTCAGGATGAGCTGTGCAGGATGGGGTGGTTTTTTGTGGGGTTTTTCATGCTGAGGTATACCAGCCTCAAAACGGAAAGGTGTGATTCGCCAGATTGGAGCTGTTATTTTCAGAAATGTGCTGCTTTGTGTCACAGCTGACACCGTCTGCTGGTTAAAGGAGTATTAATAGTGGCAAGTGTCACTGCCCCCCTTAGAAAATATGATTTAAGGGAAAACTAAGTGGTGTTATATGAGCCTATTTGAAACTAGCAGAATATTTCAGTTGCTGTTAAAAAGGAATGCTTCCTCATATATTTTGCAAAGCTTTTTTTTTATTCTCCTAATTTGTAATCTTAGCGGGGAGGAGAGAGCGTATTTCCTGTAAGGTGGGCTAGCATTTCTTTCTCCCGCTGTTAGTGCTCCATTTGCTTTGGCTTTACCAGATCCAACAGGACAGCGTTTCTGACTACAAGATTCGGTTCCTGGATATTGCATATCCAGGCAAAGCCAACCGTTTCCTATGACTGCAAGGGAACACTGCTTCTACTGGCACAGTTCCTTTCATCCCGTGATCCCAAGGCTATTTGCTTTTTCTGCTCCAAATCCTGGCCATAGAGAAGTTAATTGATTGATGCACCAGGACAGAATTTCCTTGCTGCGAATACCCTCTGCTGTTCGGCAATGCACGTGGTTTCTCTCAGTTTATTTCCAGGCCTTTTAAATCCTGTACGTGTGTGTCCGTGCTTGTATATTTGCCGAGAAATAGAGGAAACGGAAACCATACTGCTTATTCCAGTAGTTTGGTACCAGCTATTTGACATAAGGAGTGCCTTGTCCTTATGATATCTTTAAGCCAGCACTACAAAGCACTTCTCACATGTTTTTGGCTGTGTTCTAGTTTTGTTTAAAGGCAGGAGAAAATTGGAGGGGAAGGCTTAGGTCTAGCTGGTGTTCTAATCCTTGTTTTCTCCTGTAACACAGGGGACTTGGTTTCCTCATCTGTAAAATGGGAGCAGCTGAGAGCCGTTTCACTGTGAGTAAAGTGGAAGTTGAGTGGTGGAAGAGCAAGCCTGTTGCACTTGCCTCATAGCCCTGCTGCTAATATCTTGTTAGCAGTCTTTACAATGATATTTTAATATAACGTTTTGTTAATATTACAAAATATCATGTTTAGAGTTGGTTTAAGGAGCTGTTGAGATGCACTGTTTAAAATTGTTTTTCGAGGACTGGTAATGGATCCAGAGCTGCTGTTCCCTAGTCACAGGGCCAGGTGTAGTGCAGGCTATATGTGATGAGGAGGTTTTGCACCTCTTACAGGTACAGCCTTGAGTAGAGGGAATTTATTTCACGTCCTGCTCTTGGGAACCTGTTCCCAACTCACTTGTTGCCCATTTGGTGCAGGCAAAGCTTCGAGCCCCCTCCCATCCAGGTTATCTTCACCTTGGCTCCGTGATTTCAGCTCCAAGTTGCAGAATACCCTGAACTGATCGTTCTTATAAATATGTTAATTGCGTTCATTACGAACATACTAATGACTTCAAATGAATGTCTTAAAAAAAAAAAAAAAAAGACTT